ATGGCAGGGACTACTTGCATCTACATGTAATATTTGAATATTTGTGCACTAACCTTTGTTGATGCTGAGACCTGTGTGTTTCATTTGTTTTAGTTGGCTGGGGCTGGACGGATCGGACATCTGTGGGCTTCCTCAACTGGGCTCCCGGCGAGCCCAATGCAGCCTTTCACCCCGGGGACGTGGCTGAGGAAAACTGTGTGGAGATGTATGAGGACGGACGCTGGAATGACAACAACTGCCTTCAAAAAAGAGGATTTATATGCCGCCACCGCCAGTGTAAGCATTTATTTTTTTTTAGTATTTTGCCGGCTCATGTCAACAGTTTTTTGGTTATTGAAACTCTCACAATATTTTCCAATACATTTTCTTTCTTCTAACTTCACCTTCTCTGTGTGAAACTCTTTTTTCAGACTATACAACAGATAATAACACAAGGCCAGTTTTCCCCACTAACAGTCCAACTCAAGGTCCAACTCAAGGTCCAACTCAAGGTCCAACTCAAGGTCCAGGTCCGGATCCTGGTCCAGGTAACAGTAGATGTGACTAAGGCTATGTTCAGACTCAAGACAAATCAGAATTGTCTCTCAAATCAGACGTCGAAGACAGACTGTCCGCACTGTTAATTGTGTGTCCAGACATCACCAACCTGTCTGCGCTGCAGTGCTGTGGTAACGATGCTGGTGATGTGGCTTTCAAACGCAGAAGCAGGAGAAATAGAGGTCCATCTTTTGGCATCTGTTTTTTGCTGTTGAGACTTACTAAAATTCATCCACAATCCTCCATCCATCTTCACGCGCTTATCCAGGCCGGGTCAGGGGGCCAGCAGGCTGAGCGAAGTACTTCAGCTGTCCCTCTCCCCAGCAACGCTTTCCAGCTCCTCCTGGGGGATCCTGAGGCGTTCCCAGGCCAGATATGATATATAATCCCTCCGGCGTGTTCTGGGGCCTCCTACCAATAGGCATGTCAGGGACACCTCTAATGGGAGGCACCCAGGAGGCATTCTAATGAGATGCCCAAACCACCTCAACTGACCCCTTTTGATCCGAAGGTGCTGCAGCTTTACAATTCCCTCCGGATGAGCCCAGCCTAGAATTCATCTGGGTACAATCAGGATATGCCAAAAGAAAAAACGGATTTGTGCTGGCAGTCTGAACAAGGCCAAAGTGCTAAATACAGTTTCCTTACAATGTCTTATTTTCACCATTTTATTTTATTTTTTTTTTACCTTCTGCTGGTTTTCCAACCAAAGAAAAAACATGTTTAACATCCCCGCTGACACGTCTACTGTATCTCTGTTACAGGGACAAATGTAGGAGCGATAGTCGGCGCGATCATTGGAACCATTGTAATTTTGAGCTTGATAGCAGGACTGCTGTTCTACCTCTTCAGTGTTCGGGGGTATAAACTGAGAGACTTGAGCCTGCCAACAAGAGCCAGAACAACCAATCACATTGATGTGGTGAGTTATTTATGAACCTGTTATGATTCGGTGTGAACACATGGTTACATTTTTATGCCAGTGTAAATGCTAAGCTGTGTCATTCTTCTGTTGCAGCCTGCTTTCAGCAACCCCAACTTCCCAGGAGAATCAGGCACATAAACCATCACTCAAGTGTTGTACAGTACATCGAATTCTTTTTAAACAAATCAGCGATGATGTTTTGAATGCTCAAGAGGGCTATAAGATTCAACTCTATTGTATATATTGTAATACACTAATACAAAGAGAATGTATTAAAACTGTTTTTCTGTCTTGCACTTAAATTTTTGAAGTGCAGCAGTTTTGTTTTTTTTTGTTTAGAGCAATTTGTGCTACGTGGCCGGAGTAATTCATAGTGCAACACTGACATGGACTCTGGCAGACGGTAGCAGGCTGGCAACACTGTCTGGACGGCACGCAAGAAACAACACATCAACCAAATTGCAGGGCGGTAAATGAAACCTGCATGTCAATATGTTGTGACAGTCAAGCCCTATTTACAAAGAGTGGAATGAAATTATTTTGTGTTTATCATTTTATGTAATTTTTCTGGTAATGTCCAGATCGCTCATGTTTCAACCTCGTGAGAGAGAACAACAAAACATTCCGTTAAAAATTCCATCACAGACGATGGTAAAAAAAAAAAAAAAAAAAAAAAAAAAAAAAAGTTAAAATACTTGGTAACACTTCACTTGAAGGTATCTACACAAGGGTGACATGACACTGTCACGAACTTGTCATAAACATTATGTACATGTCATAAACATTTATGACTGCTGTCATTAAGTGTCATTCGGTTTTTGTAATGACAAGTTGACATTGTTTGGGATGTCTTGATTATGACAACTTGACATTAATCAAAGTGACATTAGCAGAAGTTGTCTTTGTCATGACAAGTTGACATTAAATTTGTATCGGATGTCCTGGGATGTCCTTATAATGACAACTTGACATTAACGTAAAGACATCTTCTGGTAATGTCACTTTGATTAATGTCAAGTTGTCATAATCAAGACAACCCAAACAATGTCAACTTGTCATTACAAAAACCGAATGACACTTAATGACAGCAGTCATAAACGTTTGACATGTACATAATGTTTATGACTGTGTCATGTCACTCTTATGTAGATACCTTCAAGTAAAGTGTTACCAAATATTTTAACTTTTGACAGCAATGCCATTCACCATTATACCGTCATGCTGTAGTCCACTAAAATGATACCCTGTCTGCCGTTTACTGTCTCCTTGATTCCTTGCGAATGTGGCATAAATGTTATATATGTAATTCAGTTCATGTGTTATTTACTGACCTTTACCACCAAATTGTGTAATTCTTGTTTCCTTTGAAGAAAATAAGAGCAAACGACAATAAATTAAGAGTAAACAACAAATTAATTTCCAGTGTTTATTCATCTCTGTACACTGCAACACAAATTCTTTACATATTTCACAAAAAGGAAAAAAAATCCCATCCTTCAAAAACCTTTCCGAACATTTTTTCCAGTAAATAATTATTTGGACAAGAAGTGTAAACTTGTTGCAGAGAAATTAATAAATGAAGCACCAACAGTCGAGAATGATGGAAATAAAGCCACAGGTTGAAAAAGACAAGAAAACAGTTGAAGTTGCACAAGTTATGAATTTCAAGTGCCAAAATGACCTCGTGTGCAATAACAAAAAAAAGAGAAAAGTCTAAAGATCATTTCTAGAACAGCCGGCTGATGATCGGTACGTAAAAATAACCCCAGATGCCATGGCACCTGTGCACTTGCTCCTTACTTTAAAAAAAATATCACTTTGTCATTTATGTGAGAAAATAAATTCAGGGACACTTTGTGATCCTCGTCTAGCCCTTTTATCGCGTAATTGCACAGACACACTAACTGATTCAACAAGCAAAACATTTCAAAACCCAATGGTGCTCGATTCAAGAAACGTACTCCTCTAAAGCACTGTTTCCTTTCTCACTGATAATACACTGATTATTTCAGCATCCCCCTGTGTATCAATAAGAACTTGTGATAACTACGTCAACAAACCGCTAAAAAAACTTGAGCTCACTTTATTGCTTTGAATCGAAGTTACAATAAACAAGAGTAAAGACTAGCACAGTCCCGCCGGTCTTAGGAAAGTGGTGTTCTTTTGTCCACACTGAAATTAACTACAAATACTCAAAGTGCATTCTTTAGTAAGCTATCATTTTGGCCATTTATTCTACTCCCACAGATTTTAGTAAACATATTGCAACTTAACATTCGCTACTCAACAAAAGTGTGGGAAACAGATGAAAAGCAGCTTACTGGTGCAAAAACAAATAAAGGGAACACTACTGTAGTTTCATATCCTCTGAACGACTGTGGTCGTCCCACCACACGTGAAAGGTGACTCAAACTGACAAACACGGCCGATGCTAACCTCTACATCCACCACTATACCTCAGGAGAGTCGAAGATGTAAACATAACCCCTCCTTTTTTGTTCTTAAAGATGGTTACTTCACTTTGATGTTGGTATGATTTCCATTAGAAGGAAGGCACAAGTGCAAATTTCTTTTAACTGGATGACAAGAACAAAATCTAGTCTTTTCTGGTCTGACAAAGGAGTCACTGAGCTGCAGCCATCAACGATCATAACAACAGATCCATCAGAAATTTGTCTTTCAGTTCCAAGACATTTTCAATCATCATTCTTTACGACACAAACAAGAGTCCAGATGCAAACGACAAAATGTTTATGCCTTGAAATTCCACTGATGCTACACTTACACCTCACACACAATGACTTCCTTATTCATTAAAGACCAAACAGCTGTCAGTCTGAAAATGTCATACAGGTAAGTCTCCCCTGAAATCATAAAACCTTCCCTACTCTTCCTCCTTATCTCATTATTCATGTCCCATGTATCGTTGTTTTCAGTAACACTCTCAATCTATACACAATTCAATCTACATTCAACATGTATTTGTCAGGAGGACAGACATCTAATTAACAGTATGGCACTTTTTTTCCGTTTGTTTTATTCTTATAATGCACTTATTATTGCACAAGAGGTGTGTTTCAGTCTAACCAGAGCTGTGGGAATCTGGCAACACTCATCTGAAAAAACTGAAAATACAGATGCCAACAAGGGATTAGCTAAAAATGAATAAAACTAATGCTAATTTAATATAATTATCAGGTGCTTGTGCAACAATGTCCCCACATTTGACTTGTCTCTTTTTCATACGTAGTCAAGATTAGACCGTGTCACCTGTACAAATGTGATAAGAAATTAATTCATGCACACCAGAATTCTCAGGGGTGATCTTCCTCGCTGATTTGTGGGAGAAATGAAATGCAGAATTTTAAAAAAAAAACAAAAATCCCTGAATCCAAAATCAAACCTTTCAGACTGAGACAGGGGAACTTCATCTCTTTTTAAGATAAATTAAATAAAAATCATGGTTCATTTAAGCAATGATTTTAGTGCCTTATAGTGACATTAATAACAACAGTTGGGGTAATAAATAAGATCTGTGTCTGGACTTGCACCACAACCACATGATGAGGCTGGGGAGAATTATAAAGCCACCAAATGGTAGTTTTGGTTATATTTCATGTGCATCCTCTCCCAAATTAGTAAGGTCACTCCTGAATAAAGAGCCCTGTTTCACTATTGATTCCATGACATCAGCTGACAGAGGAACAGTAAGGTGACGAGGAAATACATTTATTACAACAGATGTGACCCAGCTCAGAAAGTTACCAGAGAAAAAGAAAGAGAAACCAAAATAAAAAGTGCAATGATCAGTGTGGTATCCTTTAGAACACACATCACATGAGAGGAGATCTTTGTCTACCTTTTCACAATGAGATGAGTTCATGTCCATGTGAAGTGAAGAAAACTGGCGCAGAGGTCCAGGTCCAGGTCCAGGTCCAGGTCGGTATCAGAGTTAAACACAGTGAGGTGCAGTAAAGGTAGTGACAGGCAGCTTGAAGGGTTTTGCAGGTGTTCAGTGATGGGGGCAGGTTGCTGGGTCACTCTACCTTTCGGCTTTCCAGCCTTAGCCAGTGGACGCCTTGTCTCATGTAACGGACCACAGAGGTCATACTTGATGTGAGGCTTAAAGGACCCATAACTGTGTCCAGCTCTGTCAGCATACCTGAAACACACAGAAATATTAAAAACACTTAACATCACACCGACACAACACTTAGCGTTTTGGCTCAAATTTAAATTTAGGATGTCTCAATCCAATCTCAAAGATTCCTATTGGGGGCCAACCAAGGCTTTTTTTTTAACTGATTGGGATCAGCTATAATGAGCTATATAGAGCCCAATCCCATCCTTTGTTTTACGTCACCTGTCACACAGGTGCATTTCAGATTCATGGAATATTTTTTTATATGTTTTGATTTAGCATAGAAATGTGGTAACACTGTCTCTTTTCCATCCATTCCTACCGCTGCCTTTTTGCGCCAGCTCCTCCGCCCGTTCCCAGATGTCGTAAGCGCTCAAGAATAACGTAGTGATGTTGACGTAGGTGACTGCCATTTGTCCAATGGACTGGGGAACTGCCACGGTGCTGCTGACAGGGTCCGCAACCAACCCGCTGCCCCTGTGGCTGGAGCTTGGACCTAAGCTGCTGCATGAGTTGGCTGGAGAAGGCATGTTGGGCGTGTAGGAGGGTGTGACTGTGACTCTGAAAGCGACGAGTAAAAAGATGTACATTTTTTCTGCGCTACAAGTATGACAGCTTGGTGCAATATACCCACACAGAGAACGTCATACGCAAACTAGATGACTTACCTTGATGTAACTGCAGGGGGCTCATGTGTTGAGTTCTGAAAGAGGTCCAAATTCAATTAGCAAAACAAGTTAGGTGCCTGTTTTCCAACTCAGTAAAGCTATTAAATTACATTTTTTAATTAAATATGATTTAAATAATTGCAAAACAATGACACTGGAAATAAGGGGTTATGGTACTACTACATTAATACTTACGCTGAAGTGATAGGTGAGGGTCTTTGAATACTTGACTGCAGTTTTGTGTTTTTGGCAAAACATGGCCATCTGCAGGAGAGACTGGCACTTCAAGCTACAAGACACAACTGAATGTTATTCATAATTCACATGATTCATTAAATAAAACAAAGAACAGGCTGGTCATCCTTGTGTTACTGTTTTTTCACCATCACATAAAACAACAGATCTGGTTTAAGTTCAAGATATTTTGTTTGTCATTAAAATGAATTACTTATAATAAATAAATTCACCACAGATGATCAGATCTACAAACTAGCAGAGTTATCTCACACATAGAAATTGCTATTGTCGAATCAATTCAAATGAAAGTCTCCAAATCTGTCCTGTTAACACAAGAACCACTGCATAGATGGCAAGTTTAAAAACACAAATAAAGCTAAAGAGGAGACAAATGTATCATGAGAGATCCAATGACACATTTTGATGTGTGGAGAAAAAGCACATCAAGTATAAAGGTACCTTACCATAAAACTAAAAAGTCCTTTTCTGAGGGTGTAGCAGAGGCGTCCACTGAGTTTTTAAGTTTCAGTACGAACCTGCGGGAGTGGAGAACGTGGCAGTAAAACTAATGCATGGATCAAATTCAGTTATGGAGCCAAAACCCTCATGTTACAGCTTGAAATTTAACATAAACATTAAAAATATTTTGGTGTGTGTGTGACCATGACAAGGTGCAGATGATGATAGAAGTATGTTCTTACCCGAGCAGGTCCACTGTTTCTGCAAACATAGTGTAGGACGACATTGAAATTTGTGGATCTTTTTCCATCGCAATGCCACTTTCAACAAAGAAGATGACAGCATCCAGGTAGTTGAACGCTTTGCTGAGCTTATCTGACTACAGAGAGAGAGCGGAATAAATACAGTTTGGTCATGTGTTGTATCAAGGGGTAGACGGCAGTAATTTTCATAAATGAACTCAAAACGAACAAAAAGAGAGATCCTACCTCTGCGTCTGCTTTGTGCTTCAGCTTTTTGGCCTCCTTTATGTAGTGCTTCACTGGATACTGCCTACACATTAAAAATAAGCTTTATTAGATGAGAAAAAAAAAATGCGACAAACAACTCATAGCACAGTAACATTTGTCATCACAGCTACAAAATAAGTGCACTGTTCTTAATTAAAACTGTATCAACAATTCCATGGAAATACTTTAAATAGCAGTCCAGAAATGTTGCAGTTTTCTTTGGACTGTCCATCATAAAGTAACTGACTTGCACTGGCTGAGTATTCTGATGATAATGTCCTCCAGAATCTTTTGAGACCGCCCATTTGTTAGACCCAGTGTAACCCCGTGACTTAAGTCCAAGAACATAAGGAGTTTTATCTGAAATCAGACCATCTCCTATGAGTTTTCTTTGGCCATGGAAAAGCTAATACACCCAGATTAAACCTGAAGGAAACATCACGATTAAGGGAGAAAAATCCAGCCAGGTCCTTACACAGGCTTTTAAGGGACAAAACAAATTCAAAACTGTATGTTAGAACAGCTGAACAGCTCAGCAGCGAGATTTTTTTTACCTGTCTTCCAATCTGAGCAGGGGCCTGTTGCTCAAAGCTTCCCTGGCAGGCTGTGAAGATGATGTGATGGCAAGGCTGCTCTTGCGGGGCTTCTAAGATTCCAAGGCAAACATTTGGTTACAATTTGAATGGTTTCCCTCTTGATGTAATAGTCCATTAGTTAGCCTTTTTCACTTGTTACTGCACGATCACTAAAACTATGAGAACCTGCAGAAGCTTGTCTCAAGAAAAGAAGCAATGCACTAATGTACTCTGGGCTTACATCCTGTTACCTTTTCAGAGTGTGGGTGCTCTGTGTGCTTTCCACTGCTACTCTTGTGCTTGCTTGACTCTTTTCTCTTTACAGCCTCCTTACTGAGCTCTTGCGTCTCCCCTGAACTGCGTTTGTGCAACTTTGGGCCTTTAGCAGCATCTTTGGGTGTCTGAGGCTTCTGCAAAGGAACAGGATTTTTCTTGGTCTTCTTTGGCTCCCGATCCTTTGTTGAATTGCCAGAATGTCTGTGGGTGACAAGATAAGAGAACCCATGTAATCTGACACACTCTCTTACAACATTTTGATGTTATCCCTGGCAAAAAAAGAAAAAACAAGTACGAGAGGCCTTTAAACTTAGGGGACCTACTCCATTTTGACCGACACATGAGCTGATGAGGTATTCTTGTTTTCCAGCCTCTGTTTCTTCCTGGGAAGAGTTGCATTGTCTATCTCAGCCTAGAAGACAACAAAACACATATTAAAATAAAAATATTATGTATATATTTATGCTGACTAAAACAGACATGTACCCTCATATTTCTCACATTTTGAGATACACTCTTTTTGCTGGTTTTGGTGAGTTTGTGTGCTGCAGAAGCATCACTGCCCCCTCCATTTTGCTCTATAACCAGTGCTGGTCTCTTTGCATTGTTGGGTATCTTCTGGTGGTTGCCGGAGGTGCGGGGGACTCTTGAGAGCAAACTTAGATCAATCCTCACCAGCAGCGATCTAGGAGGACTGTGGTGGTCCAGAGAGCTCTTGGCTTTCTGCCCAGTCTTCTCTGAGTGCTTGTGGGTTGTTTTGTGAGGAATCTTGGTGCCCTTCTGGCCGATGGTCTCTGATGTTTGTTTGGTACAACTGATTCTGAGCAAAGGGGAGGGGGACAGCTGGTCAGGCTGAGAAAGACTTTGAGTGGGGCAGGAACAGGGGTCAGGATATCGTACACCACATGAAGGACAGTGACCACACAGGACCACTGTGACTTGAGGCTCTGATACAGCCTTCTGCTTGTCAAGTGACATGTGTTTAGAAGTCCTCTTACTGTCTCTTTTAGTGTCACTGCTGTCCTTGCTTTTCTTGCTATGTCCTGCTTTCGTCTTCACCTTGGGTCTATCTGTGAAACAGGGGTCTTTGTCTCGGGTGGCCACAACCTCCTCACACTTCACGCTGACAGCTGCTTCAGTGCGATCTGGGCAACCTGCCTTTGTTGGTTTTGAGGAGTACGTGTTGCATGAAAGTTTCTTGGAACTGCTACAGCTGTTCAAATCAGCAGAGGGGGATTCGTGGCTACTTTGATGGTTATAGTTGTCCTGAGGGTTCTCACTGTGCTGCTGGGGCTTCGTAAACCTATCGGGGAACTTCTTCCGGTAAGAAGACAGCTGAGGTTTAGACTCCTTGGTGGGGCTGACCACCTCTACACTGAGTGAGTGCTTGGAGCTTTGAGTGGGTGGTGGCTGTTTGTGAGCGGGGCTCTCAGAAGCATGTACACCACTTTGACTCTCAGTGCCGGAGTTCTGCTGGCTGGACCGGATCCAGTTCCCCAACTGCCAGTCAACATGGGTCACTGCTGGAGCATCAGGCTAAAAAAACAGACAGTGTGATTTAAAAAAAAAATGAGGGAGAATAAACAGTTCAGAGAACGCATGTTTGTGTGTCCTTTGTTTAAATGTGTACAAAAACAAGACAAGCAGAAAATTACCTCGGTTTTGATGGAGTTGATCGCTGGGGGCTGAGGTGGCTCCTCGACCGTGCTTTCACTGTCTGACTCTGATCTTGAACTACTCTCTGAGTCACTGGAGCTGGTGGACTCTACCCCTCTGGAATGTGTTGCTTCAAATGAACTACTGTGTACACACACAAAACACCACAATAACATCACATTATAGTGTTAGTTATGATGAAATAATCATTTTGGCTACATGCCCAGGCTGTGCTGGTAAACAGCACATTTGGCCAACATGATGTGTGAAGCAGAAACCAACAGAAGAAATGTTTCACCTTGTTTTTGTTATGGTGACTGGCAACTTGTTCATTCTACAAATGTTCTTCAAATTAGAGTGACAACAGATTGTTAATCAATTAGTCAACTGATTAAAAAATTAATTAAATTAAATTAAATTAAAAAATAAATTAATTAAAAATTAATCTTAGTAATTTTTCAGCCAAAAATGCTAAACTGTTTCCTTGTCATTTCTAATAGTATGAATATCTTAAGGTTTTAGTCTGTTGGTCAAATGAATACATCATCTTGGGCTGTAAATCTTTTTCATGTCAATGCCAGAAACCCTAATGAAGCCAGCTGGTCTAGTTTTAGGTTGGTGTCATATTTTGAAATTATGCCACAAAAACTGTAAAACCCAAGTCACGTACGATGAGGAGCTCTGCTGGATTAGCTGGGATGGATTGGCAGGAGGGGACTCATAATTTTCTGGAGAGAAATGACAGAGAAAACAAACATTAGTTTGACAAAGGAAACAATAAGTCATTACATGTACATGTAAACATAAAAAATACTCACACTAATGTGGATTTGGCTCACTTGCACTGAGGTTGAGCTGTTTTTTAAACTAGTGAGCTGACTTGTCTACCGATATCTTCACAGGTTATAGACTATTAAACACTAGAAAGACCAAACTTTTAAAAAACTAACCTGCAGATAAACCAATGCTTTAAGACATCCCAAGGGGCGTTTGCTTTCTAGTAGATTCAAATTAACTAAAGCACAGGCTTTGCTACAACTACATCTACTAGCAATCTATTTAAACATAAAATCTAGTGTATTGTTGTATAAACTAAACAAAGACAGATGATGTACAGCTACGTCTCCAGGAGCAAAGATGGTACAACTGTTGCTACACTTTCTTTATCAAAGTCCTCAATTAATCTGAAAACCCACATCATTCATGTCAAGATGATCAGGCTGATGCTCCTTTTCTATAACTCAGTAAGTTTGCCGTCTTTGATAAATCATACAAGTCAGTAGTAGACTGTCCCTAAAATGGTTCGCTGGCATTTCCCCACATTAAATCAATTTGCTTCGGGAACTAAAGTTCACCATCTGGCTGACTGAACAACTGACAGACCTGAGTTTGGCCTCTATATCCTGCCTCATACTGTGGAAAAATAGTTACGGTCAATTGCATTTAGGATGGCCAATGGATTTAAAAACAGCTGCTTTATTACTGAATTGTACTACACAAGTATTTACTGTTAGTTTACGTTGGTAAGATACTGACTCCTCTTCTGGCAGGTGCTTCAACAGCTGGGCGACTACTACCAGTAGTGCTGACCTTTTTTTGTAATGCCAGACACACTTGGGTCAATGGATATATAAGATAACACCAGAGAAAAATGAATGAGCAGTAGTAGGTATAGACAGTGATGGATAAAACCAGCTCTTGATGAAATAACAACACAATGTAAGTAAATCAGTAAAAGAGAAGGCCTAAGAGCAGTGAGAGATCACTCCTCCCCTGACTCCTACGTGACTGTCTCTTAGTCTTAGCTGAGGTTAATTTGGGATAAAATTGCAGGGTTGTTTCTCTCCTCGGGTACTTTGTGGCCAGTTCAAGTTGCCATAGAAACATTGCCATGAAGAAAATATAGGGCAGAGACTATCAGCGAGGTGCTGCTTTAACTCCATTGATATAAAAAGTTGAAGAGAAGTGAGCAGAATATTTACATTACACTTACTTCCACTAAAGATAATCAAACCTCAGACTTTATCTACAGGCTGTACAGTAGATGCTTCATGATGACGGACTGATCTGTCTGCTCCCAACATCAATTTCAGATATACCAGACTTTAGCCCAAGTTTGCACTCAGAAATGATGCTACTGTATCATAGAAAATCAACACTATTTATTATCAAGTTCATATTTGTTCTGTGCCTGTACTGTACTCTGCTTCATTCCCTCATTACTCACTTTTTCCTGGACATGAGGAGACATGCTCTGCTTCCTGTGAGGGCAGAAATAAAATACACATGCAAGCTTTTACCTTGGTCATAACATTTGTCTGATTCAGATTTGTACGACTGCATTTACACTTAACTGTTAACTTAAATATTTCTGTGTGATAATCAGTACTGTATATGCACATTAATATTTCATTAACAAGACTTTTTTTTATCTCAGTGTTCATGCAGTCTGCATGTGGGCAGCACCGTAAGTGTCAAAAAAAAATCAAGATAGATTTCATTGATTCTTAACCTTTAAGCTCTCACCTTGGCTGGAAACGGGGACTTGGAGGGTTCTTCTGTGCTAGGTGTGTGTATAGCTGTCAGGAGGGGTGGGCACGAACGGGTCATTTCCTGTGGAGAGGAATGAAAAATAGTGTCAAGTGTTAAGAGCCTATCAACAACAGGTAATAGCTGTCACTCTATATAAAATAAACATTGATGCATGCAGGTGTCCCTCATCACAGTCTATTTCAGACTAAGTGACGGCACATGATAGTTTGTTTTTCACTGCACCTGACACAAACACAACTGACTTCTCTAAACACGGACTTGCATAATTTTACCTAAATATAAGCATGCAAAGAGCGTCAGATGTTCAGTCACTGTTCGACACAGTAGAATCAATACAATGTGTGAAAGAAGTGCGTTTGAACAGGACTGCTGATTTTCATGCAGCACCCTGACTTTACAAGGAATACTACAATAAACAAGATGCAGTCAGTGGCATTTCTATGGACGCATCCTCACTCATCAATGAGAATGGACAGACTCATTCAAACTTCATGAGAAGAGAACAAGTACAAAAATGATAGCAAAACATGACAGTGGAGTTCTGTGAATGCACATCACATCAAACCTTTAAGTGGATGGGCTACAGCAGCAGAGCATTGTGCTGGGTTCCACTACTGTCAGCTACAAGCAAGATACAAAGGGGGAGGAATCACCAAAACTAGACTATCAGTGAATGGAAAAAAGCTGCTCCAAGAATTTTGACTTGTGTTGCATAATTTTGAATGATAGGCGAAAAAAATCATCAGTTTACATGATGATAAACTGTTTACCTGTCATATCTTCTAATCTAATCTAATCTAATCTAAACATCTAGTTGTTTACGTGTCATATCTTAAATGAGTTACAACAAAGACCATGTGGGGTGCTGATGTTTTCATCAAACATCAAAAAAAGTTCAGGACACAGTAGCATCAAAACAAGGGCACGATCAGAGGAATCCAAGTCCCTTTTGCATCATGCTAAACAAAGGGTTAAACTACATGAGTTCATGTAACAGTGCTTTTTTTTCCACAAATTACTTTCTTAACATTCATATCTTTTTCATTCTTCCCCCAGCACAGGTCAGTGGCACAAATACTTATCTGTGAAAACTCAGTGAAGCTGTGGGGTGAGTGAACAATCGAAAATACACAGAAACCCAGCAATAAAGAAAATACTGCCAATTCAGAACAGGAGACTGTTGTAAGAAAGCTAAAGAAAAGTTTATCTGCAGTTGTTTAAGTTCATAGGATTGTTGAGCAACTAAAGGCATGTATGTTTGCTCCTCTATGATTGGAAAGGCAGCATGAGCACAGTCGAATTCTCTCAACATGACAATTCTACAGACAAATTTTGTAAGAATAGACCAATCATCCCCTGATTATAGACCCTCCAAACCCCATAAACAATCACACAACATGACTTGTGCACTCCCATTTACTGTGCTATCGCAATTTGCTGCAGCTATTCTTGCAAATTGTACACGATCTGCTGCCAGGGCTTAAATCAAGGAAAATTTCTGTGCCTGAAATGTGTGCAGAGGTTGGGAGAAAGGATGAAGGGTGGTTGGGAAGCGAAGGGGGGTTCACAGAAAGAAGAAATTTGCACTTAAGTGCAGAACGGAGGAGGAACAGGAAAAGCAGCCGAGATGAAGTGTTTAGATTAAATGGTGCAAGAACACTGGCGAAGTATGTGAGCGTAAGTAATTTTATATTCTAAATTATAATGATAGTAAAAGACAGTAGCCAACTGTAAATGAGAGTTTAGACAGCTGAACTTACCCTCAAGATGTCTTCAACACACTGAACTTCATTTGTCCTTGTCTGTAGAAAGGAAAGGGAAAAAAATATGAGTTTCCAAAAAGATAGTGAAACACCTGTTTTCCAATTATAGCCTGAAAATAAAATCATAATGAGGTTTGTTTAGGGGCTAATGTTTCACAGGGCAAACCATATGTGGCATTTCACAAGCGAAACTTAAAACACTACATTTTAAGTTACAGTATTTCTAATTTGCATATTAGTATGTTATGCCCCCTTGTTAGGATGGTATGGAAAATTAATAAAAAGTCTGTCACAAAAATAAAATAAAAACATTTAATATGCCTTTATCTTACCCCATTTATATCTTAGATTGTTCACTCCTCGTTGTTGATGTGCTGCATGCGGTGAATGCAACTTTATCTCACCCACATAGAGGCTTATCTGGTTTTGCCAGTTGTCATACAAGGGCTGTCATTTATCTTAAAACCTGAAATATGGCAAATCATCTGTAGGTATACTGTTGAAGTTGTGGGGAATTGAAAACATCCACCCATGTAGCAGAACACAGGAAATTAAAATAAATCAAATCAAGAAAAAAATTAAGTATAACAATGTTTGCATTTAGTGTGTTACAAATACATAAAAGATATGTATTAAAAAGAGCAATTATTTAACTTTGTCTCTCATTCATGAATGTTCCATGCCACATTAAAATCAAACCAAAGTGGAGAGGTATGTAGCATGTCAGTGCTGTCCAGCAGGGTGCAGCACAGAACAGCCCATACTAAATGCACAGCAAATGCATTTGGCATTGCCCATGCCAAAATGAAAAACAATCAATTTTCCCATCACAGCTTGGGCACAGTGGTTTGATTTTATTGTGGTATTTTTAAATTTTATGTCAGAATGGTAAGTAAACTGTCCATTTAACATACGTTTTAACATATGTTAAATATAGCACAGTAAATGCATACATCAAAAAGGAAATAGATAACAATGTGGATTGTATTTCACTTCATTTTGTTTGTTTGATTTAGGCATTTTAAATCTTTCACAGAGCACCAGATAACAGTAGGTGTTGTGACAAAAACACCCACTTTGATCTTTGTGTAATAACCCTACAAAGTCTCCATCCAGAGAGGAGAAAAAGATCAGCTGAACCATACCATATATTCTCTCTGCTCCATGTATATCCATAAACATCTTTGAATAGAATGCAGTCCTATACTGTATCACCACTATGTGCAGCCTCAATCACTAGATAAGTGACACAACACCCCCGTATCAGGCAGCAACATAGGCCAACTCTAACATCAGATAAATACTGTGTGTGAATGAATGAGTCAACAGGCTGCATTTCAGTTTGTTTTCAGGCCTGTCTTTCAGCTTTTCCTTCTGAATGGACAGTGTTTGAGATAAGGTCAGAGTGTATGGGCCCCCAGAGCAGTTATGTAAGTTGGTGACAAAGCTCATTTATTGTTCTGCTGCTGAGCCCTGGGCTGAAGTTATCAGAGGCAGCTAAGGTCACATAACACAAACACACAAAACACCAACCACAGGCTGCTTGCCACATTTACTACGCTACGCACCTGAGAAAGACATGACACTACATGCTCAGAACTGCCTGCTTGTGAGCAGTATTACATTAAACACAAAATAGTGATACTTGCAGCTCAATACTCTGAAGTGCAAAACAATGCCTCTCAGAACAACTACAAAACAAACAGCAGTGAGGGTGGTGTGTAACTATTTTGCGTGACTAAAGGTTTTCACATTTGTCACACCAGTTTAACTGTAATCTAGATGCCTGATTAACATTTAACTTTGCTGTGTTTGCACAAGAACGTTTGCTCTGTGACCCATGACACCTTTGTATTGGCCCGTGTGCAGGGTTAACACATTACTATAATCTCATCACTTCTTCACGTGTTCTACATCTCAATGGTTTGGAAGCTAAAGGGACACTTCAGATTATACTGTATATCCAAAAATGTCTTACATATGTCTTATTGCATATGTGGAACGTAGCTCAGGAGTGAAGGCTGGTAAGGAACAGGGGAATGACTAACTGCTTAGACATCTTGCACTAGATCAGTCCCCCGGCTGCTGCTGCTGCCGCTGCAGAAGGGGGAGGTGCTGTGTGCTGCAGGTGCACGGGTTGTGTGTGTTTATGAATAGAGTTGAACTGGAGTTCAGCCAAATTCTGCCAAACAAAGCAAGTCCAAGACCTTTTTAAATGCCTGAACAGTCAAGCAAGAATATCAAAACTATGAAGAGGTTTCAGGGAACATCCTGAGATCAGCAGGCACACAATCCTCTACATCAACAGTATGTTCATAGGCCACACAACAGTGCTGGGAAATAAGAAGTAGGACTTCCTCGTCCTATAACCTCCCCACCTTCCCAGGAAGCACCAAAAGAGATTCAGTAGTATATGATATCGCTAAACAATAATATCTGTTGTTGGAGGGGAAAATATACTCCATATAAAAGAGCTATAGCAGGAATTTAAATTATATACCTCTACACTAAACTATCTACACCATACTGTACTTCCGATCCTACATTTATATATAACATTGTTCTAGTGTTGCGTTAAACAAATGCATTGCTAAAGTTTATAGAGACCCAAAGTAAAACTGGAACTTCCAGGTTATTCACCAAAATGTAATTAAAAATCAAACCCACATTTGTAGTAATGAATATTACAAATAATCCAGTAATAAAGAGAGTTGGATATGATAAATACCACTGAATGCTGAACACCAAGCTACAGCCGATAGCCCATAGTTTAGAGTCTAGCATAAAGACTGGAAACGGGGATACGGCTAGCCTGGCTCTGTCTGGAGTATAATTGCAACGGTATGAGATTTTCACAGTCCGTCCTAGAAAATACAGCGGTTTCACAGTATCATGAATTATCAGTATTATAACTATAATTAAAACTTGACACCATTTTGTTAATAGAAGTATGTGTAAAAGGACTCCCATGTGAAAATAACTAAGACAAAGGGGAGATTCAACATCCAGTTGCATTTTTTTCAGTATTATAGATACGCAAATGTACACGGTACAATAACCGTCAACTTTTATATCACGGTACACCTTAAAACCAGTATATGGTTGCAACCCTAGTTTAAGAGGTAATGAAAACTGCCTTCCAGCACCTCTACAGCTCACTACTTAACATGTCATATCTTGTTTTGTTTGAGTTGTACAAAAATCAAAGTGTACAAACAATAAGTAGCAAGTTTAAGAGAGGTATAAGCACTATTTCTAGCCAGGCTAGCTGCTTCCTGCTGTTTCCATTTTTATGCTAAGCTATGATAACCACCACATTACATATTAGATAATATCATAACACAATTATGAGATCTTAACAAGTATACTCACCTCCAAAAATTGTGGCAGTATCTTCGTTTTGCCCAGCTCAGATTTGTTGATTAACTCTGGTAGAGATGCATATGGCTCTGGTGAAGGCTTCAGCTCAGGTGACTCGCTGACCACCTGGTCCTGACCATCCATGGGCCGCACATACGCTGTTGGCTTCTGGATCATGACTACACTGGGCTGCTTTGACGACAGGAGAGAAGGGAAGGTTTGGGAAGGTAGTGTGTTGCCCTTGTTAGTGTGAGGCAGAGATGCATCTTTGGGGGACTGTTTAAGGTTAAGTGTGGAAACATCCGTAATGCTGGCAGACTCTGAGGGATGATCCGTGGACCCTTGATGCTGACATCTATCAAAGGTGTCCTTAGTGTCCATGTCAGTATTATCATGGTCACTGGAATGTGGGAAGGGTGGCGGTTTAATATCAGAAGACTGAGAAGACATTTCCTGGGGAAGGCTGACACGCTCCCTGAGATCTGAGTGGGCTTCACTCTTCTTTGCTGAGTGGCTGAGCTGACTGTGGTTCAAAGACCCATTTGAGAAAGTTGCTGAATGTCCACGGTGGTTAGGAGAAGAAGTGGCAGTGGACGTCCTCGTGGGCTGAGAGGAGTAACCGTTAACAGAGGGAGCTTTCTGATTTTCAGTGGGCATGTAATGGACCTGGTTTTGGAATGAAGGTTTGGTTGGTTTATCTGTGTTTGGCTGTCCCTGATCTGACTGTGAAAAGGTTACATAAGAAGGAATGGGTAAAGGCTCCACGGCAAAGGGATACGGATTATTCACATCTTCATAACTGCCCAGCATCCTCTGGATTCGATTGGAAAGCTCATCCCCTTTGTTTGTCTGCAAAAAGAAGCAGCAAACACTTAGTGATGTTAACAGAGGAAAGATAACTCTCTTTTTAACATAAATACACTGAGCCTGGTTTTGGAATAAAGCCCTTAGTTTTGTTTAGTCCCCAAACAAATACACCGCATCACACTGCTGACAGCAGCAGTCCTTTTTTGAGCATAAAACAGTCAAGCATTAAGCCCTCATTGATGTTTTCTTTCCCTGAAATTATTCCATTTTCAGAAAGATTGGGTCATTTGAAATCTTTACAAACTCTGTCCCTGACTGGCTGCAGGTGATCTACAAGCACCTATAATAACAGGCTGCCCCAGCTTATTTGTAGAGGCTGTTGGCGCCATATGTAGCCACAGAGGAAGAGTTCAGACACTACTGAAAGCTGAAAACAGCCGCACCGTCTTCTCTGCATGTTTTTTTTTTGCATAAAAATATTACATATTATTGATTTAATCAATCAAAGATATGACAGAGAGGACAGTTATCTTTGTGGTCAAGAGGCAAAAAAAACATTATCCTTTTCTCTTACAGAAACTAAATGTGATTTTAAGTTGGGTTGAAGCCTTAATAATGCAGCACATTACAGCATTTTATCATTTTACTACGATCATTATGGAGAGCAAATTAACCAATGTTATCGTAATTTGTTATTTGCCAAAATGACGGAAATGAAGAATTTTGACAGACCTGTGAAACTAAACCTACACAGTTGTCTGCAAAATGTTCTTTTTTCCTCTATTAAATATAATTTTCCATTTTTTGTCTCAGTATTAGAATAATATTTAAAATAGTACAAGTGAAATTGTGCTTGAAAGTCAACACAGTTATGGTACTGACTCTTTACAACTTCAAAAAAGAGACCAAAATAAGCATCTTTTTATCCACAACAACTACCGTAAAAGCCCCGTGTCATCATTAGAGTATCAACCTCCTTGTACGTGGGTCTTTACCTTGTATGGCTCCCCAAAGAGTGGAACATTCTCAGGGTTGAGTTCTTTGGCTTCGCTTGTTTCTTGGTTCCTCTGTTCCCATGCACGGAGGCGAAGACGGTTCCTTTCTTCACTGTTGAACATTACAAGAGAAATACAGATCTTAAATCAGCATTGCATTTGCAAGTGCATCATTTCAACTATAACACTGGATGCAATTAGCCAAGTTAGTGCCAGAGGTAAAGATGCAGTAGGTGCCTTGAATATTAAAACTGAAACTGGTGACAGTATTCACTGCAGCCTGTTTTTACATCTGTATTTGTTTTAGATTTTCTAGGATTTTAGACACTTACAAACACCAGAACAATGCAATGAGCCTTATGATAAAATCAGTTCTGGCTAAAGACACCTGAAAATTTAGAGACTGTAAATTTTATGGCATCTTATCACAGACTCCGCTACCCAAGGGGCAGAACACGAGTGTCTAATGGGAAAAGACAGTGCCCATCATATCAACAGACAAGTTTAATTAGACTCACAAACGCCGTGAGGATTCACCACAACATTCACATCTGTTCTCTTTAGTCCCTAAAGATGACTCACAGCCGATGCACACATCAGATGGATACTACTTAGCCCAGACAGGATGCCAACAGCAAAAAGAGATCGTTCACTATAGTGAATTACACTGTGGAACAACATCAGGCCCCATGGGATCAGGCCCTGTTTAAACTTTAAATATACTACAGTGAACTTATCTACAGTTTTAAATTTTGTAAGTTTTCATCCCAAAATACAGTGTTGATCCTCCTCACTGACAGCAACCCCAACGGGATGCTTCCATGGCAACAAGTGGAGCAGTGCAGATTTGGGACTAAGCCAAACAGATGAGCACTTCCTACTAGTACAACACAAACTGGCACTGCCCAGTCACAGTATTACCCAGGGGTAAAGCAACATGCAGTGCCTGTATTAAATTACTCACAAGTCGTCCAAAACAAACATGAAACATACATGTTGTTGATGATTGTACTTGTTGATGATGAAACACAGCACATAACTTACAGAAATAATTATGAACAACTACTCAGAGCAATATATATATATATATATATATATATATATATATATATGACTGGAACATAAACTGTCCAGAATAAGCACTCACTGGGATTTAATCTTCATCAACGTCTAATCATTTAATAATTAGTCACATCTGAATATTGTGTTTAACAGGCAAGCTCAAGACTCACCTCTTTCAATCAATGCAAACTATTTTGAGTTGTGTGGCTGCTCTGTTTGGGGTTTTGCAACATGAGAAGGACTTTTTTTTTAATTTCATGACATTTTATATACTTGAAGAAAAAATATCAACAAACTGGCTGTCCATGAAAATGATTTTTATTGCAGTGCAAGAGTTAAACTACCCTACCACTGACTGACAGTCTAATGAGGAATGTCCACTTTAGTCATCAGTTGTGTTGATGTCATGTCTGCTGGCATCATAAGCACTTTGATAGTGGTGACTAAGTTCTCTCCAGTCCTCACTTCACACAATGTCAATTTCCAAAAACGTGGACATTCTTCCAAACCGCTCAAAAGATATCCACAATATATTTGATTTTTTTTTCTCTGTTATGATATCAATCTGTGATCAAACAGGTACAAACAGGACAAAGATATTTTAAAAAACTCTCCCTGCGATGATGATGCTCTACTTCCCAAAACTGATGAGTGATCACACACTTCTTAACAGGGAACACAACCTTGGTGTACTATTGTTGCTGCACGTGCACACTGTGCCTATGTGTAACAGAAAACAGAAAATGTTTCATTACACATTGGCTATGTTCTGACAATGCATATGATATCAGACAGTATAGGTTTGCAAGCAGAGACTATAAATCTGCATTTTACTGAGTTACCAACATATAATGTGAAATGCATGAGCAACCCAAAGCAACAATCTAAAGGCATACTCTACTTTTATATGCCTTTAAAACTTTTAACACTGACTTTAATTAGTATGCGAGACATGACCAGGATCTTATGTGCTGCCTATCTGGCTAACCAGCAGTCTAAATAAATCTGAAGCTGCCATTTAAGTTAACAGTCTGCTAGAGAGCTGAAGCCACAATAGTGTTGAGCATAATTGTGCTTTACAGTTGAAAAAAAAACTATCAACAGACTAGGAAACATAGGTTTTATATAGCTCTTCTGCTCAGATGATCACAGCCAAAGTCAAGATAAATATTGATTTGTGCTTCCTTGTCAGTCACCTTGTCCTGTCTTCTAAAGGTGAAAAAACGAGAGTCAAACCAGTTTTCTGTTGTTATCCAACTTGTTAGCAAAGATTCAAGTTAGGCAAAACACGACATGGTTTTACAGTAAGTCACGTGTAAGTACAGGCGTAGCGTTTGCTTTTAAAGTAAACTTAAATGTACATGAAGTAGCTTGCATAAACAGAGCAGCCCCTTTAACCAGCTGGTAAAAATCACACCAGCCTGCTCTTTCCAGCTGATTCCACCTCTTCCTCGAACTGCTTATCAAAGCTAAAAACCCTGCCATGTCAGTTTAACATTAACCACCACAAAAACTACCACACTCCCTTTCTTTCTGATACTATCACCGAGTTTCAAACTAAAACTTTACTTCAGCCAAGTGCGCTGCTGGTGAGCTGGCTAACCGTACCCAGCTAATTAACGGTAGTTACCCGGTCAGGCTGGGAAGCTAGCGCCAGCTGCTAGCAGCTAGCCGCGGCTGTGTGTGTCTGCCTACCTCGGCTGAGATGCCATGGTGCGCCTCTCACAACAACCAAAGTTGGTTGTCATGTGTTTCTGACAGTCCCCCACCAAGGTGTCCTTCTCTCTTGGTCACATTGTTCGCGCTAACGATAATTAGTTAATTTAAATGGCTGTCAGGCCGCCGTTGTTTGATGTTGTCTGCTAACCGTCCGTGTTTGGGTTGTCCACTCACACTCTCTCTCTCTCTCTCTCTCTCTCTCTCTCTCTCTCTCTCTATCTCTATCTCTCTCTCTCTCTCGCTCTCTCTCTCTGCCTACTGGATTGTTCTACTCTATTCAGCCGTCCGGGGACCGAGCTCTGTTTTAGACACTCATTGCAGCTCAAGCTTTTCAGAAAACACTTCTAAAGCAGTTGTGTTACTATCACACGAGTAAATGTAAAGGAAATATAACAAATGAGCCGATTAAGAGCTGTATTAGTCACTGTTTTTTCTTTACCACCACAGTTTGTCCAAACTTTACACTGTTACCCCTGCGTGACAGACATGGTACAGTCACCTGTGTGTAGACACCATAGTCTGCTGTTTATCAGTCCTGACAGTAAGTTTTAAAAGCTGATTTGAAAGCTCATGCATGTTTGCAAATCACCTTCATTTCAAGTGACTGTTGATAGCAGGAGAAAAATAGTCATCACCTGAAACAAAGGAGGATAGATGGGACACAATACAAGCTGAAATTTGAGCCCAAAAGTGACAGTAAAGGGTAATTTTAACCATTTGTTTTCCTGTATAATTCCTGGAATAACAGAAATCAGAAAAAACTGTGTGATTTCTTTTTTTTATGATTATGGTTCAGAAAGGTTGTCACACACATGGTCAATGGACCTCCAACTTAAAATAAAAGGTTAATAAAAAAAAAAACTATTTAACCCTTTGAAACCTGAGCAAATTTGCTTGATTTTTATAACAACATGAAAAGCAGGAATTACCCCAAAAATTGCAAGAAATTTGTAAAAAAAAAAAAAAAAAAGAAAGAAAGAAAAAGGGTTCAAAGGTTTAAAAAATGAACCAAATGAGCTACTGAGCTGCTTTATTAGAAATCATTGAGTGTATGTTTTAAATTCCTATCTGACAGAATTACCTTTATTCAAAGCACATTTATACTGCTGGTAGTTCATTCTGATACCTGACAGAATTACATTTCTCTCTTTAAAACCAATTTATGTTGTTATTTATTTTTTAGCTAATTCAGCAGACTGTTTCAATAGACATATCAAAACTTAAAGGAGGCACAGGTGTAGATTTCAGGGGCCCAAGGGACACATCCACCTCAATATTTAGAGTGTGTGGATTTGTCCCCATCCAATAAAAACATTAACATAGCAGAGGGCTTTTATTTTGACAAAATTAAAGGCATTTACACATGCAGAAAAGGCACAACTTGGTGCATAAAATTTCATCAGATTGCAAGAAATTAGGAGTTTGATGCTCAAAAATTTCTGGAGGAGGACCCCCCTCTTTCATATGGTTCCCTCCTAATGTGGAAGTAAAACCCATGATATGAGGTTGGGCAGTTGTGTCCTGATATTTAATGGTAAATGATAACATCAGGATGCAGACACAGTACAGTAACTAATATACTAATTTATTGATATGGAAATTATTTTGTCTTGGTTTATGCATGTGAATCCAATTTAAACAGAAACGGCTGAGAGATATGGACAAAAGTGATAGTGGATACAGCAAAAATTCTTTTACTTAAAAAAGACCAAATATAGTGCACAAAATATTAATGTTTTGATCAAGAAATGAAGGAAATGTGTCACACCGTTTTTGGTTATTGGTGCATTACCTTACCTTGTTTCCAGCTAACAAAGCAGGACCTCTGGAGCTGGCAGGGATTCAATTTCCTGCCTAGAAACACTGGAGCAGATCATAAAGTCTTCTGACTCACTCTGCCACCTTGATGCCAGTTTTGGTGAGTGAGTTCAGATTTGATGACACAGAGCCCAAACCTGGCAGTGGTTGTGATGTCTCCTGTAGATTTCAGAGATTAGCCTGGGGCAGAAAACAGATAAATCATTTAACACACTTCAGTAAGACATGTAGGATGAACATGCTGATGAAGTGCGTCACAAAAGAATCGAGCAGCCTGTGTCTGCTGTTCTTGGAGCACTGACACCGGCACGTATGTGATTTAATGCAAGCCTAAAGCACAGGCCGTGCAGTAACGTCTGTTATTGGACACTCACCCTGGGTGGGTGCCGATACTGGCCGTCTGCCAACACAGCACACCGACATCATCTTACTTCATTTAGACCTAACTGGAGGCTCAGGACAGCTGAATGCACCATGAGAATTTTAAGACTGTAGCCAGTATAAAGATATAAAAGTTGGGGCCTAATGATGGTGATAAGAAATATCCAATATAAGTATTGAAAACTAAAAACTGTGGCTCACTCAAACTCATTCATGATATTCAGGTTTAACTATCTTAGAGGTCTGTTATGGAGGGAAATGTAGATTCAGAGTGTGTAGGTTGGGCTTTATTGAACACAGTATTAATTAAGCAGTAGTGTACACCCACCCAGTGTACTGTCACAGAAACTGCATCAATCCAGGGTTTTAATATTTAATCTTAAGGACTGACTGAGGGCAATGATTGGTCAATGACATGGATCATTTTGACTGTGTGAAGTGTATTGGTATCGGAGTAAATAGTTTAACTGTTTCCACGTTATCACTCACAGTTTTCGTGACACACACACACACACTCACAAACAGACACAGACACACGAACAAACCCACAATACTGCTCTGACACAAGCGTGCCATCCAGAGGCTGAATAGTGTGCAGGACTGCAGTCTGATACCTTTATTACTCCAAATGATAACCAGTAGGTGTCACTATATCTTTTCTTGTGCGCACAATAGCCAACATATACATCAACAGCAGGTAAAATTTGTTTTTGGTGAATGTATGTGCATTATATGACAACCAGAGCAGCATATACTGACATGGCACATGTGTACAGTAACCAAACAAACACATACAGGATGCACACTGCACATATAATACTGTATATAATAGCAGTATTCCAAATATAGTAGTATATCTCCAAAAATCCAAGTACAATTAGCCCAAACTTATTAGTTCACTATTTGTATAAGTGTATACTTATTCTGTTTTGCATGAACTGTAATATGAATTGGGTTTACAACAGTAGGTTCTCAGTCTACACAAGGTTACAATAATGTTTTTGAGTGTTTTTCAACAGTCAAACACACAAACACAATAAACATGTGACTGAAAAAGGAAAATAAAGTGATTTAACATTGCTATAAACACAACCATTAACATATATACATTTTTCATTGAACAGAGAACTTTTCCATCACTTTAGTTTCCGTTGAATCCAGCAGAGCACTGTCTTGCAGGTTTTCAGCAAACGTCTCTTTGTGCTCGGCAAAGCCGGATTCATAAACGCCAAGTAATTCGTATCATCAAATAGCCTTCACAACTAAAACAGGAAACAAAATGTTTACGAGTCACATAAATCAACCTGAAGACAAATCATGTATTCTGATCCTAAAACACACAAAAAATCACATCATGAGACAACTAATGTTGACACTGAAAGAATATATAGACTGTATAACTTTCATCCTGCCAGCTAACCAGGTATGATAATGATTGGCAATTTGTATTAATGGTGCAGAGACTCCCCTCTAGAATTTACTTAAACAATGAAAGTATCCATAGTGGATCATTATCAACACAGATATGTGATCTAAATGTTTGTAGCCAATGAAAAAAGGCAATGAAAATATCTTGTCTATAAGAATCTATCACACACAACAAAAAAACTGAAAGTGGAAAGTTCAACTCTGTGAGACAGCTGCTAGATTTGGTTATTATGGTTATAACACAAGCAAAACTTACACATTCAGATAAGGTTTGACAACCTATCATGTTAGAAACAACCAATATACTGATTGTCAGTGATCGTTGTAGAATATACAGTGGTGGAATGTAACTAAATGCATTTACTCTACCTACTGCACTTCAGCACAAATTTGAGGTACTTGTACTTTAGATGATTATTTCTGTTTTATGACATGTTTCACTTCTCCACTAAACTTCAAAGGGAAACATTGTACCTTTTACATTTATTTGACAGCTATATTTAGTAGTTATGTTATGAATAGCTTATACAATATGACACCCTGTTACAGATTAAAGTGTACAGTGTATACAAGTGTAGCTGAATTGATCAGTCTTTTTTTTTTTGTAAAACATTTAAAAATATGAGGCTTTACTGTTTTTCTTTCTTATTATTTTATTAAAGTAGATTTATTTGTAATATTTCTTTTTCATTTTGTGCTTTTGTTGGACTAAACGAGCATCGTCAAGGTGCCACGAAGGCTCTGAGAACTGGTGACATGATGTCTCACTATTTTTTGAAGTTTTACAAATGAAACAATCGATCAATTAATTGAAAAAATAAAGAGATTACAAAATTAATAATCATGAGTTGCAGCAACCTTTTATAAGATACTTCAAAAACAACTAACTGCAAAATTAAAATGCTGCTACAATACAATAATGAGATGTATAATAGTACAACACTCACAAGGGCCACTTTTCTGCATTGAGTGCTTTTACTTTTAATACTAATTATACTTACAAGTAACATTTCCAATGCAGGTGTAGGCTATTTTTTACAGTACAGTATTAGTACTTTTATTTAAGTGATAGATCGGAATACTTCTTCCATCACTGAGCTTTTATCCTCCACCTTCTTGGTTGGACTGATTTGGGCTTCTCTGCCAGAAGGTGACCAGGAAAGGAGGACATTTAAGAACATTGTCCCCCAGAACGTCTTCCTGGGTGGCAACCTGCACGCAGAACGATGTCCCCACAGTCCCTGTGCTGAAGTGCGTTGTGACGTCGTATCGGAGGCCACAATTGTCTGCGATTGTCGTGGGGCTGTTGTGTGCAAGAAGCGTGGTGGCAGTGGGGGCAGTGGCTTTGACTTCCAGCATTTCATGTCCAACTTTAGATACATCCACAGGCAGCACCACATAGGCACGAAGAAAGCTCTCTCCAATGGTACACTTGAGCTCTTTAGACCAACAGTATTCCCCGAGGTCTCCTAGGAAGAGAAATGATTTTATGAAGGCTGATACAGCAGATACTATGTGCAACTTGAAACAGTGTTGGATTGACATATAGAGAACCAGTTTCCTGTGTGATACTTGTCTCACTTTAGAATAGAGAGTTGCAAATGTGAGCTTACCTTCTGTGGAATCTGTGAGTCGTATATTATGATTGTCCTGAAGCTGCAGTTTCTTGATGTATGTCATCCCAGTGCACTCCATCAAACAGTCCGTTAGATGTGTCACCGACATATGGCCGGGGACTGGTTTCAGCAACGTTTCCTTCTCTGAACATTCAAATGCCCCTACAGCCAGCAGAAGGGGAGACAGTGTGCCAAAAAACACCCACAAAGAAAAATATCTTGACATTCTGTCCAGTATCAATAAAACATCAGTTGCTGGCAACGTTGAGTTGCTGGCCCAGATCTGGCTGTCCTCTTGCAGAGTAGTTGCTTAGCAGTACTCCTGGATCAATATCTTTCTTGCACAACTTGACAATAAGTTAAGATTCCACTGCAGCCAGGAAAAGATTTACAAAAGCCCCGAGTACATGCACAGCAGCTGAAAACATGAAAACGAAGTGCGCAGCTTGTTGCTCTTCCCCTGACTGCATCTGATTTCCTGGAGAACAGTGCCAACATTTCTTCCTCTACTATTTTCCTCCCTCTAAACTACAAAAGTAAATGTCTGGCAGACATGTAATCCTGGAAGGCTGGTATGAGGAACGGCTCTGACAGTCATACTAACTCTTTTCCATGAAAAAGGTTTCAAGAAAAAATTACTGAGAGCAAAACAGCTGTTGATTTCAATCATCTTTATTCAAATAATTGTGAGAAAGGCATCAGGAAATTGCTACAAATGATGTTACAACAGTGTCATCAGCACAATAAAACATTTTGCATTTGAGCTAGATGTTTGATTGAGTTGAGGTGATATGTCACTCCGATAAGTAGTAGCTCACTTGTGAAAAATACTCGAGAAAGTGAATGATGAGGTAATTTTGTGAAGTCACTGGAAGTATACAACAAAATGACAAACTGAGAACTTTTACTTATCATGACAAATGCTCACATGAGAAAAAACAAGAACTCGGCTATTTAAAAAAAATGTATATAAAAGCACACAATATGTAAATCAAACAAAATGTAGATAAAAATATAGAATAGACAATAAAATGTTTTTAAAGCAAAAATAAACTACAGGTTAAAAAAACTCAACTGACCATTGTTTGCTTTAAAAGAAATCGTGATTTAAAGCAAACAATGGTCAGTTGTGGCAAAGTGTGGTACTTTGCCCAGTAAACTAATTTAATTAAAGATCACTTTACTGGGCAAAGTACCACACCACAGCAGAGTACTGAAATGTGAAGTTTTTCAAAAGAAAGTACTCAGATTTTTCTTGATCTATTTTTTTACGCGTTGTTTTATTTATGTTTAAATCCAAATTTGTTAATTAAAGTTACAATTTTTGGAGGTTTGCATGGCAGCAATGTCATTTTTCTACCAGTGGAAACATGAAAATGGAACATTGTCAATGGTCTTTTGTGGAAAAGATCAGCACAGAGTGATGTTGTTGTAATACTAAGATTCAGGTGCAGGGAGTTAAGCTGGTGTACACAATCTTCTCCTGTAACTCTGACCTTCAGCATGGCAATCAGTTTACTTTATTTACAATAATCAGATTAGATTTTTATCAGGTAATTTTTGAAATATTTTTTATTTGACCTCAGGTTGAGTTTTGGGATCAAGTTATTTTCTTGCCCTTAAGAGGAAACAGTTGTTTCACAGATCAGTGAGGAGACAACTGGCCTGTGCGAGGATTTGGCTCTGCACCGTCTCACATTTTTTGGAAGGAACACTGAGTAACAGTTAGTAGCTTTAAATAGCACTCTGCACTCATGAGACATATTTAAAGATAAACTGGCTGCCTTTTATTAGACGAGTGTCAGCTGCACTTCACTTCCAGCTCTTAGTGCAACAGAAATGCTTGAATTCAGCTATAAAAAAACATTTTTAAAATTGTTTGTTAACTGTTATCCAAACATGGATTGTAATTTGAGGTCAGTAATTATTTTAGTGGTAAAACGGATGATCTGATTTATCTTAAACACACATTATCAATCAGTTTTGTGTTTGGTTGGCTCAGCAGATCTGTGCTGGCACATTCTGGTTAGAAAGGAGAAACAGGAATGCAAACTTAGTTTTTAGGGACACTTTGCTTTGGTTCCCATGCTCAGTGTTGAATACACACTGTGACGATCTAAGATAAGTTTAGTGAGAGAAGATACGCCTGCATATAATGTATTATCCACATCTTCTGTATTTCATGTGTTTGTGTGTGTGCCAGGTGGCTCACATACTCAGGACTATAAAACAAACTTTACTCTGTGCCGGGCTGCTGGAGGGTGCCAGGCCCACAGCCACAGCTGCGGGTCAGCTGCACGGAGGAAATGACCAGGGTGCTGAATTCATCCACGTAGAGAACAGGCACCATTTCCTGGGAGGTGGGCTGACAACAGGACACCTGGGGAGAAACAAAGACAGGAGGAGTGACGCATGGCAAGACAGTTTGACATTTTTTCTGCATAAAATCCTCAACAAGATGAAACAAAAGAATAATTTGCAATTAATTCTTTTTTTTTTCTCAAGAAGTGTAAAGTTCAGTGTATTTTAACCAAATTTTAGTGAAATATTAGACATTTATACTGATGGCAAAAAAGAAAATACAATCATTTGACGCATGCTTCAGTGGCGGTGTCATATTTTAACCAATGATTAGCAAGAAGTAGAAAACAAAACTATAAATCTTTCAGAAATGTTTATCTTAACAGACACATGCCTGCAATAATAATTTAAAAAAATATATGCTTGTGAGATTGCATAAAGATGTTTTTCCACCTTCTGTTTTGATAACACATATCTGCTGCCAAACTGCATTAATTTCTGATTAACCAACTTTTGGAAGTGTCTTGGCTTATGTTTGGTACATCTGTGTTGGCACAAGCGGGAAAATCACCTTATCTATTGGCAGAAGACACCAAGGTGAAGTACGCACTGTTCGTAGCCCCAACAGGATTTTTCCAGGTCACCATAGCTGGGTGTTTTTGCATTTTGGGAGGAAAGCACTATAAAAGCATCGATGTATTTAAAAATAAATCAGAAATGTAAATTTTAGTTTATACCTGTGAGTCAGCTTCTTGGACGTTGGCATGGGATGATGGACATTGCACAGTGTTCAGATCAGGGTTACAGATTGCACAGTGAACGATGGTAAGGCTGGCAGGATGGATCACCCAGTTGTCCCATCCCAGATCTGGGAAAAGAAAGGACATTACAATACATGCATTACAATATTTCCTACTGTTGATATGCACACACATGAATACACACACATTGTTGCATACCTTTCATAAAGATCTCAGAAGCCATGGAGCAGCACTCCAGGCTCGTTCCATTCCCAGCATCAGGTGACACAGACACTGCTGGAACTACATGGACATTGAAAAAACATGTTTGGCTGGGTTTGACTTTGGAAAGGTCACTGAGGATAAAGCTAAGGCTGGAAACGTATGATTTGCAGTGGTTTCTTTGAATTTTGGGTTCCACTTACCTGCAGTGTCCTTAGCTCTGTGAGTGAGGGTCCTGAAGGTCTTCCTCCACTGCTCTCTGACACCGTCCAGCCCACCAACAGGCAGCTGTGGCTCAGCCTGCAAGTTGAGAGCCCTGAGGAGACCCTTCCTCATGGACTGCAATGACTCACACCTGAAAATCATATCACCCATGTCATTTAAACACTGCATAATATTAAAAACAATTAAAGAGAAACAGAAGAAATCCTGGACATTTCACAAAAATAACTGTGTTAAAACTCCAATCAAGACAAAAAATGCATCAGTTAGTGGCTGCACATGCCACTAAAAATGAACTCTGGATGCACTTTCCAGATGTTTGGCTAAACCAAGTGAGAGAAATCTTGTGTTGAAGGGTGATTGATTACACTGCTGAAGCTCAGACAGAACAGTGAGATACATCTCTGCACAACAACAAAACCAAATGGTCAAAGTGACCCAGAATCCATAATTTTTCTTTGACCCATGTGGAAAGGCCTCAGCACGCATAAATCTCATGATGTGTGATCTAATACGCAAGTCTATAGCACTGAGGTGAATTTAAAATACAATAATCTCTGTGACCTAACAAGATGCTTCAAAGCTCTTTGGACAATCTTGAAGAAATCAGTTTTCCTGTAGAGAATTGTCCTGACTAACAAAAGCACAACAATATTGGCACACAAAGTGTTGGACAAACATGTTTGATACTGACCTGTGATGGTAAACTGGAGAGTTAGCAGAGGCTGCAGGTTCTTCCCTGGATGGCTGCAAGACAAATGCAATCACCACTGAAGAGCCCAGAAGCATCATCATGACGATGAACGTAAAGGACATGGTGCTTGAGCTTGGCGGTCAATCAGTCGGACTCGTGACGGACTTAAGGCTGTGGTTGGTTCTGTGTGTCTGGTTGGAGGAGGAGATAGGAGTGATCAGACAGTGATGCTGCGCTAGGTATTGTTCTCCAGGGCCTGGGAACCTGGGTTTTTATCTTCCTGTACCCCAGCTTGGCCTTGAGATACTTAACATTGTTGTCATGTCCTCTGTTGTGTGTGAAAAAGTGCAAGGAGGATGATCCAGGAGAGGAAAAAAGAGAGGCAAACAGACAGGAATGAGAGGTGGGAGGGAAGTAAAGAAAGAAACGAATGGTATTGTAAGCATACCATATTACAACATGCATTGTTTCAGTTTCTGGCTGCGATTGGTTACACATGTGGTGAATACCAGGACGCACCTAAGAAGACAAAATGACTTAACACATGAAAACGTGTGTCTCTGCTATAATCTACACTGTAAATGAGTTTTATTACTGTATCACAAACAGTTTCTTACTGTATAAACTGTGTGCAACATCATCAAATTACTAGCTAGCTAAAGTAAGATGATTATTAGCTGTGACTAGCAGCTCTCTAGGTTGCTGTGTCAGTTGGTTGGTTCACAAAAGTTTCCTTACCCTTTGGCAGCCACAGATTTTTTTCCCTAGGGGTCTGAAATTTGGCAATGAGATCATATGGGTGGATGTGAAAGTGCATGTTTGTGTTCATGCCAATTGGCTAAAAGGGGGGTGGGGGTTCACAGACATGCACAGGATTTTGTGGAAAGATTGGTCATGAGCCAAAGGACAGATGATTAACTGTTCATGCCACTGGATTCACGTAATGTCATCAAACATAAGAGAAAGACACACACACACACACACACACACACACACACACACACCATTTTGCCAGGTCCCCTTTCAAAACTCATGAATCGATTGTCGTAGGGAGGCATCTTTGTACTAGTGACAAGTGTTTGTGAGGGGGTGTGTGTGTGTGTTTGAATGCATGAACACATGGAGGCATGCATGTTCACAGCTACTGAAAATTCATGCTTGTTTTTAGTCACTTTTAGTCAGACAACAGCAAGAGCCTGTTCTGTTGTGTCATCCTGTCTGTCTGTTGGCCTGGCCAAGTTTTTATGCCTCAACGCTAGCGGTGCCCTCTCCTCTCCTCAGGGTCACAGCAGACTTTCCCATATAGCCATGAATATCAAATCATAAATCCTCAACAGTGCCACAGGAATTCTTGGTACAAGCTGATACAAGACTTGGCAATGCTTTCCTCTGCAGCTGAAATAAAGATTACGTTTCTTACTGCTGGTCTGCAGCTATATATAATATAAAACTGCTTTTCTTAGCGCATGTATTAATCTGTCAGTGTGCTTAATACCAGTTCAAAACATTAAAGGTCTAGTTTGTAGGGTTTAGTGGCGTCTTTAGTGGCATCTCCTACAGTGAACCAAGCCTGTAGGAGAAGTATGGTGGCTGACGCCAAAACATGTATGGCCCTATCTAAAGCCAGTGTTTAGTTTGTCCATTCAGGGTTACTGTACAACATGGTGGACTCCATGGGTGAGAACCCACTCTGTCGTAAGTCATAAAATTATCAGCTTTTAAAAGAAAACAGATTAAAAACAAAAACAATTTGGTGTAAAAATAAAAAAAGGTAAGAATAGGAAAAGAAACACATTTATTGAAGGAAGTCATAGACAGTTCCAAGGATATTAAAGCGCAAGTAAAATCATAAAAGGTTCTTCAATAAAAGTGTGTTTTAAGAAGGGACATAAAGGAGATCACTGACTAAAGCGCATGATGTGACACACATCAAGTGCTGCCCCGGTACACACTGGACATGTCATGCTGCAGAGCGTCAAGAGATGATCACACAAAGTTATTACTACTTTTACTGAAAGATCTGTACTTCCTCCATCTCTGCATTAGCTTAAAATCATGTGTGGAGAGCCCAAAATCAAACTGCATTTAATTCCAGGGGTGTTGAGGCTGGAAATAGAACAGTGGTGTAAAGTGCCACAGGGGTACACGTCCAGGAGCACCACCACACATCTAGCTGTCGCCGGTGTAGGGTTGTACATTTAAATTTTTAATGTTTTTTGGCCTTTAGCCTACCTGATTAGGGGTCCAGAAAGCAAAGGCTCTGTGCCCTTTATTTTTCAGCCAGGCCTCTGGAACAGACAAAAGACCCCTGCCCGTGGATCTTAAAGTATGTACCGACGCGTTCAGTTAGAGGCCAGAGACAGAGCAGGGAGAGACAATGATGAGCATTAAAAGTAATCAGTAAAATAAGAATAGATTTTAAACCCATTTTGAAACATAAAGAGGCTTAAATGGGAGCGATATGATCACGTCTCTTGGTTCTGGTTAAAAGCCTGGCAGCTGAGTTCAGTACAGTCTGGAGTCAATCAATAGAATTTCTGTTCAGGCAAGTAAAGAAGCCGTTGCAATAATCCAGGTGTGATAAGATGAAGTCTTTAAAAGGCAAGATAGAGTGAATTTTTGAAATATTTTTAAGGTAATAAAATCATCATGAAAGTGTCACCCTGACATGTTTGGTTTTAATGGACAGATATTTGGATGCACAGCAGTTTGTAATGAGTGATTCACTGGCAAGCTACTGCTTTTAAATAATTTTTTTTTGCGGGGGACAGATGACAGAGCAGACAGAGAAGGGCATGACATGCAACAAAATTCCCAAAGCTGGCATATGTGGCATACACTGTAACCACTCGGCTACCCAGGCACTTAGGCCACTGTGTTTTTAAGAGGTGTTAATACCCTGACCTACTTTCAGAAAGGGCCTATGTCACCAAATTATTTGAAACAGTAATAAGTAGTAGAAGTTAGTGAGTAATCATGCTAAGCTTCCAATTCACTTCTGCATGTGGGCTGTAATCAGTTTCTATTTTTACTCCCATTTTTTTATTTTTAGTTTGATATGCAGGACAGAAATTTCTGCCAGATAAAGATGATAACAATATCATTCACCTGCACTTGTCATTCAAGGACACGATGGGGAGGGAAAGAAATGTACCACAAAGCAATAACGTGTACCACAGGTGATGCTGATATCTGAGAGCCCAGAGCAAATCAGCTTGGCAGCACTGGCAGCGTTGGCACTTGTGTAAGCCAGCGAGGCTCAGAGGCATGCACAGAATGGTATCTTCAAGTCCTCAGGTGCCCTCTCCTCTCTTCAGGGTCACAGCAAACTTTCCCATGTAGCCCAAAATACACACTTTATCTGCTGCAGTGGATATCAAATCATAATTCATCAACAGAGCTGAAGGAATTCTTGGTACAAGCTGATACAAGACCTGGCAATACTCTCTTCTGCAGCTAATATAAAGTGATGGGATGAAGTGAGGATTATGTTCATTACTGCAGTTCTGTATCTATATAAAATATATATGTTGGATGCAGACCTGCAGAAAATAAAGCTGCTTTTCTTAGTGCAAGCATTCATTAATTTTACACATGCAATAATAAATTTCCGGCTGCAACAATGTCTCGATGGCTGGTACTTTTTTCACCTCATAATTCTGTGCATGTGTCATCGTGGCAAAATATGGACCTGGTGACAACAGTTGTAGTGGGAACTACCACAGATGCTGTTTTGAGTATTTGGCGTAGTGTTTATAAGTTTGTCTGTTGACACGAGAACATTGCAACTGTGCAAGATGCAGTCATAAAACTTAACAGTTGTGTAGCTGAGATCAAAATTATGACTGAGTTTGAAGATGGCTGTGCACCAAAAAAGGGGGCTGGAGCCCTCACCTATACAACCCTGGCCCTCGCTTTAATTCACGAATCACTTTTTCACAACTATAATGATCCCATCGCAACATGGTCTTTAGTTTTCCACATTTATCTTTATCTACTAATTTCCCGGATTAAGATTTTACAAAAAAGTATTATGACAATCTTATAGCTGTCTGTGAGTTATCAGCAGTTGAAATAAAGACTTCTTAGAGGTTGATTTAGTCAATATTTCACAAATATGCAACACATGAACAAAGATTTGTTTAGTAGAACTTTTTTTTTTTCATTCCTTCCAACCCCATCAATCAACTCACGACCCCTCAGATTAATGTTGTGACCCTTTGGCGGGACAACACCCCTTGGTCGGGAGCTATTCAAGAAAATACCAATAATAAGTATTTAAAAATAGCTCCACCTCAATCAGCTACAGTGAAATGCTGAGTTAGCATCAGTATTAACAATGTAATAATATAGTATATGATGATTTATTAGTCAGTTTTGTGTTTGAGATCTTTTCACTGCAGGACTTTAACTTGTCACGGAGTGATTTCACAGTGTGTTTTTGCTACTTTTACCTAAATAAAGGATCTGAAGGATGTCTTAAGTCACTGTCAAATCATTCGTAACCTTAATGAAATTTGTGTCCTTGGTAACATCACAACTTGGCATCCCAACACAAACATGTATGATGATCTTACGCAAGATGTTCTGCAGGTCTCGACAACACTGTGAAGTTCTCAGGTCTTAAGTTCCTGTCAGGTCTCAACTTCTCAGTGCTGGAACACTCTAAGTAATGACAAACCATAACTCAGCAGAGTCTCAGTGGTGATTTAATGGTTGTTATGGTAGCCACATGCACATGGTCAGTGTTAAATTCAGAGTGGAGTTGAATATTAGAGGTCCAGTGTGTAGGATTTAGGGGAATTTATTGGCAGAAAAACTATGTTTTCATTAGTGTTCAGTCGGCTGAAACAAAGAATAGTTGTGTTTTCTTTGTCTTAGAATGAGCTATTTATAACTGCATTCAGAGCGGGTCCTCTTCCATGTCGTTTCTACAGTAGCCCAGAATGGACAAACCAAACACTGGCTCTAGATAGGGTAGGGCCATTCACGTTTTCACATTGGCCAGCATAGTTCTCCTACGTGCTTGGCACACGGGAGAAGTTTCAGTTGGGTGCAATCTGCAACCTCACCATTAGATGGCACTTAGTAGACTATCTTACTATCTTATCTTAATATATAATGATGAAAACTCTGTTGTGGGTGTGTCTGTTCCACGTTTTTCTCCTCACTGACTTGGTCAATCCATGTGAAATTTGGCACAGTGGTAGAGGGTCATGGAAG